GATGTCATGGTGGTGAGCCTAGTGGCAGTCAAAATTACTAAAAATGTGGGAGGGTCCAGGTTACACAACAGTGACATAGTTGTGATGGCATATCATAGCTGTGATGGCATTGAATGTTCTGGGTAGAAAATACAGTGAATTGTTGCTCCCCAGTTAAGTGATGGAAGCACAGTTAGACCAATATACAGCCTATCAAATGGGAAATACAGAAGTGCTCCTTTAGAATTGATTTACCTCTAAGATCTGCATATGAGCTAGTCAAGGGTATGAAATACCAAAGAATGAAGGCACATGCACTCAGAGAAAAGACTTTTAACAATGCTTATCTGGACTGAGAAATGAGGTCTAGATTTAAATGGTGGGAAGTTTGGGAAGTAGAAACTTCCCTTGTGTGCATAGCAGTAGTGGCAAAAATGGATGGAGTAGAATGCTGGGAATAAAGTGAGAGGTACACACTCACACTGTAAAGTGGGTGGGTGGGTAACGTTTCTAACACTCGGCTGTATTGAAGCTATTCAGCTACATGTTTTACTCTGGTATTGGAATCTAAACTTCTTGCATACTTTCTTATTCATCTTTTTACACTCTACAACATTCCTTGTATTGAGTGCTTAATAATAACAGTAACAACAATAATAGTAATAATAATAACAAGTGGTTAACTAAACAAATAAATGACATAGACCTACACAGACCTGTTAGGGCAGAAATACCCTTAAATACCCTGGTGGCACAAGTGTTTAAGATGCAACCTATGAAACTATCCCCAGGCACTGCAGCACGAGTTCAATCCCTGGCCTGGGAGGTATCCACACAGCGCAGCAAACCTCTCCTGACTTGCCCTCTGCTCCCTTCAGCAGTATATTTCAGTCAATCAGACTATTCTGTTCCCCACTCTGTCTCTGGTGAATACTCTCACCCCCACACCACTGGCCTGTACCCCAGTTCTTATATAAATAAATAAATAAATCTTTATTAAAAAAGTACTGTTTTCATAAAGTACATTTACTTACAGTTTTAACTATTGTTAGACAGAACATATTTTTATGAAAAAGCATGACATGGTAAGTTACAAAGAACATAATTGTTTTTTTCTTTGTTCCTCCATGATTTTTAATGAAAAATGTCAAATCTACACAATTGTATAGAGTTACCAGTATAATGAGTCCTCTATACCTGTAACCCAGCTTCAACATTATCAGTATACAGTATTGTTTCAAACATATCCCACCTATTACATTAGTTCAAAGCACATTCCAGATTGCTTATTTCATCTGAAAATCTTATAGTACGTATTTCTGAAAGATAAGGACTCTTCATGGCTATCTCACAAAAAAATAAAGATTATTTCCAAGTACCAGTAAATATGAATTCTGGATATATTTTGAAGACATAGCCAAAGGCTTTTCAAATAAAACTGAATGTTGGAGCATGAGAAAAGGAGACAAATCAAGGCCATGTACAAAGTATTTGTGGTCTGAGTAATTGGTAAGAGGGAATTGGCATGGCTTGAGAGGGGAAACCTATAAACCTATAAACTGATCGGTGTGGATCAGGGAGCGGATCATTCTAGCACCTGTCTTAGCAACAAGATATTTAAAAAATCAATATGGTTTTTGAAAATTGCAAAACACTACTCAAGTCCTGTTTGTCTCCTTTTCTCAAAGCTGAGCTGAGCTGCTCTACTTTATGACTGGTGTGTGAGACCCAGTCTGCTGATGGCATACGGGAAGTAAACCAAGCCCAGTCAAGTTCTGCTTGCTTCAGTTAGTTTCATCTCAGTTTAAGCCACATGCCTTCCCTGCTGAGATTTTCTCTCTGGCTCTAAGATTTTCTGTATCAAATTAGAAGATTTAAAATTGCTATAGTAGCTGGTAGTCTTTTTGGGGTAAGTACACCTAAACCACCTAATGTTAGAATGGAAATCTTCCCCACACTGGGGCTAGCAAAAACAATCCTGTGCTAGTTTGACAAACACTGACCCTTGAGCATGGTTTTTTACTGCACAGTTCCACTTTAAAGTGTGTTTTCTTATAAACAGGTAACAAAGTCATGGTATCTATACAGTTCTGTAAGTGTATTTTCTATCTGATGATTTTCTTAAGTAACATTTTTGCTTCACCTTACTTTGTTGTAAAAATATATAATACATGTTTTGTGCAACCATCACAGGCCTGGTAGGTTCATTGTCAGTTATCACAGATGGAAAGAAAATTTGGAGACTTTGATGGGTTTTGCAGGCCATTAATGCTGCCACAGGGGACCATATATACAGGTAGGCAGAGAGAAACTGAGAGAGACTCCAAACACTCAGAGATGCAGAACAGCAACTGAACTCCTAGACCCCTTTACCATGTCAAGTGCCCACAGCCCCACAACTGATCCATTATTGCAAATGCAAGACCAATGGGTTGCTTGTTAGATATCTGAATGGTGGAAAACATAGCATTTCAAGGTATGGGCTGTTTTGTAGAAAGTGAAAAATAGCCTGATTTTAATTAATTTTCCTTACAACATGCGATATACAAAATGTGTTAATCAACTATTATTGGTCAATAGCAGGTTCATAGTTAAGCTCAAGGGTCAATTCTAAATTAAAAAAATGAAAACAAATTTAAAAGGTCATTAAAAAGAATTTTGGTGATGCAAGAAGACAGTAGCCAAATCCGCCAATTTCCTAGTTGTACAAGATAACCACTCATTTACCAACTAGGAAAATACTGCATTGGTGTAAAGAACCAACTTGGAACTCTCATCCTCCACATTTGCTTTGGTTCCTTAACTAAAATTCAAATAATTTCCACCATTTTCTGGCTGAGACTCAGAACAAGCCTTGAAAGAAGGGCAGCCATAAGCATAGCAAGCAAGTTAGCAGCAACGCAGTGCAATGCCTTTCTCTGTCCCTTCAAAGTCTCTACCTTTCTCCACAGGCACCATAGATTCTGACCCTGCCCCTCATCAGAACTGCCTATCTGGATGAGCTCCGTCTCTTGGTAAGAACAAAATGTTTAAGCAACATGTCCTGTCACTTCCTGTTTCCACAGATTTGGTTGGACCCATTTCCTGCAGAAATTTCTTCTGCATAAGCAGAGGTTCTAAGGACCCAGACGATCTTGGCATGCAACAGGGCCACACCTAGGTTCAGGAGACCTCTGGTTATTCATCAGTTTTTCTGGCAAGACCATTATTCTATAGGTCTAGACTCCAAGCCAGGAAACCAGCTAAGGGTGGAGAAACTGCCTAGTCACAGTTCTTCCTCCATTGGATCACAGAAAGCCATTGACATGCCCAGATAAATATGCAAAGTGACTTTATGTAGATACCCAAACAACTGTTTTCTCCTCCAAAACCTGTAATGGTGGGATGGCTTAAGTTCAATAGTCTTAAAGTAAAAATGTTAAAAGAAATGATAGTGAGATACAGCAGAATCTATAGGAGAGTGATTAACACAGGACAATTTTGCTCTCCATGGGGGCATTTGGCAATCTCTGGAGTCATTTTTGGTTAGCCCAACTGAGGGCATGTTATAACATAAGTACAGCCAAGGATGCTGTTCACATCCCACAGTATACTGAACAAGTTATCTGCCCCAATAGATGTGATACTATTTGATAAGATGATAGAGCTGGTTGAGAAGCTTGACACCACAAGGCAGGGAGATTGATACTCTTTCAAGAAGTCCATGGCTTGAAATGAAGAGCAGACTTTAAAGAACTGACCCCTTGTGGCAAGGGCACCTTGTAAAAATGGCTTGCAATCATGACAGGATCCTACCCATTAGGGCAAACAGGAGCAAAGTGATTTTTGACATGATTGTTTCACAGTCCTTAGAAGAACTGCAGTGGCAGCTGAAGAATAAAAGTCTAAGTTCAAGTAAGCACACTACTGAAAAAGCATATTTAACTGTTAACTCCTGGTTTTGAAAATGAAATGCAATAAGCAAGAAAATATTTTTAAAAAATCTTAAATTCATGTCACAGGGGCCTCCCTGGTGGCACAAGTGGTTAAGACGCAACCTATGAAACTATCCGTAGGCACTACAGCATGAGTTTGATTCCCAGGTAGGGAGCTACCCACATGGTGCTGCAGACCTCTCCTGACTTGCCTGCTGCTCCCCTCAGCAATGTATTTCAGTCAAGACGCCTGTTCTGTTCCCCACTCTATCTCTAGTGAATCCTCTCACCCTCCACACCTTTGGCCTGTACCCCAGTTCTTGTATGCATAAATAAATCTTTAAAAAATTAAAATTCATGCCACAACAATCATTTGAGGGGCTTCCTGGTGGCCTAAGGATTAAGTCTCAGAGCTATCAATGGTATGGCCTGAGATTGATCCCCGGCCAGATAGCTGACACACATGGCGCAACAGACCTCTCTTGTCTCATCTTCCGCTCCCCTCAGCACTGTATTTCAGTAGATCTGCCTGTTCTGCTCCCCTGCTCTATCTCTGCTGAATTCTCCACCTCCTGCCCCTCTGGCCTACACCCCAGTTCTTCTATAAATAAATAAATTAATTTAAAAAATCACTTGAAAGAGTAATCCAAAGCAATTCACATTTTATCACTTCTATTAAGGATTTCACACCAGGGAGACATGGGAGATTTTACCAAGTCATTTGGGGTATTCAAAGCATTGTTGTGTAGTAGTAAAATACTTAATCCTGCACATTTATCTTTTAATCTTGTGTGTCAATACAGTTAATTTTCAAAACTGGATTATCTAGGACTCCAGGGTAGTTCTTAAAGGAGGGTATGTTGATTTATAGGCACATGTCCATAAGCCTCTGCTGATGTTTTACTTGCATCAAAGTAAAGAGCTCAAATTCTCAAGTCTTTGGAGAACTACTCCTACTCTGAAAAATTTACATTTGCAGAATTCAGGCTCTACATACTCCCAAAGTTGTGTATTGCACATAGCAATTACATACACAGAATCATTATGTTTATAAGGAAATTCGAATTTTTGAAATAATAATTTATTATTTTAATAATAAAACACTGGAATTCAAAACTCCGCTTCAAGAATTTGCATGTGATCTTGTGCAGGGGCCATGCTAATCTTCTCTGTAGTTCCAATTTTAGTGTATGTGCTGCTGGAGAGAACACAGGAATTTGAATCTTTTTGGAATGAAGGTTTCAGGTTTTTCTTTTGTTTTGATTTTGGGTGCTCTAGGTACTATCATGATTATGCTACAATGTCAACATTTGGGGTCAATTTATCATTTTTTAATCCAATAAACTAGCAAACGTTAGATTAGTAAAGCATAATCCAGTTTCATCTTCGTCCACACAAGTTTAGTGACATCAAATTGGACCAAAATTTACAATGAGAGACCAGAAACTCTTCCACTCCTACCCAGTTAGCCAAGCACTTGGGATTGTTTTAGGACCAGCAGAAATGGGTTGGCTGTACATTCTCTCTCCAATTTCTAGCTAATGGCTGATTCTCTTTGGGAAGCAGAGTATTTTGCCTTGCTAAGGATAACATTGTAATCGATCTGTTAATTAATTATTAACAATAATTAATATATATTCATTGAGAGAAATTTACTAAACACTCTAGGAGACACAAATCATAAAGAAATAACTCCTGTTCTGGAGAAGCTAATTACCTCATTCAAAAGAAAGTATCTAGACCCCTTCTGTCTCCAGGTCAGGTCACTACCCTTCAGTAAATTTAACCATTAGAATAATGTCGGAAATGGGAAAGAGAAGCTGACTTTAAGAGGCAAGGGAGAAAAACCAGTTTGGTTTTGTATACATTTGTTTTGAAGGAAGGGAGGTGGGAATATCTGAATGGGAATGTCCTAGAAGCAACTGAAAATAACATACTACACATGGACTAACTGGGATAGAGTGATCAAAGTATAGGAAGAAATGATTTCTATCTGCCTAGTGTCCCATCACTGGCTCTATGATATGACAACAGGAAGATTAACAAGATAAAAGGTACAAAACTGATTTTTTATATTTTACAAGTTGACTATTTTTTAATATTACATGTGTGAGATTTCACAGGGATAAAAATTGAATACACAAAAAAGCAGTGAAATTTGAAAGCTTATATATATCCATCTCAAAGTTGGGGTGCATATATCATTTAGGGTAGCAGAAGTGATATTTAGAAAATACCAAGGGCTGAAGGGGACCTCAAAAAGGATAGGAGATGTGATAATATGTGACATATTGGGTGTGGGTGTGATATCAACTTCTAGTCTCTCTCTTGTCATGAGTCAATCTTCTCTGGTTGATGAAACTTCTGAGGAGTGGATTTATGACAATGGAGTTCTTTCAGAGGATCTGTCTTTAGGCAGCTAAGGGAAGTTCAGAGAAAGAAAGTTTCTTCTGCATTTGTGGTTTTTCAAGTGTTGTCAGTTCAAAATAATCAATATCCCAAAGAAATGTATTTTGGGATGGCATCTCTTGAACTCTTCACAAAGAAAAAAGTGAACAGGCCTTTGAGAGCCAAGTAGAGTGAGAGACAAGCAGATGCCCTGGAACAGAGCTACAGGGCCTGGCTATGGTTTGGGAGAGGAAAGAAGACAGAAATTAGAAAAGGATTAGTTGTTCCCAAGTTAGGGTCTCAATTTCCTTAGAGTTTTAATTATTCATAGAATCCTGCTGCCTTCATAATTATGCAATCAGTGTTTGAGAGGTTGAGAAGATCAAGGATCAAGATGGTATTCAATTACCTTTAGTGAAAATAGTGGAAAAAGCAAAGACTGGCTAGAGAAACTGAAAGACTCGAGACTTAGCAGTTACTATCATAAAAAGCTTTGCATTCTTGCAAGGTTGTTAGTTCCTTCCATGGTGCAGAGGTAATGATGACAGCATGATTAAAGATTTACCCTTTGTAAAGGATATTTGCAGATTATTCTCCAAATTCTTGCAATAAACAAATGAGCAAACAAACAAGTAAATAAATTAAACCTGTGCCACTGGTCATGTGAGATACTGAAAAACAAGAGGAATGTGTAGGAGTTTAAGTACAAATTCATTGCAATCAAGACTTAAAGGACATCTCATCAGGTATGTTCATTTAAGCTACAGAAAGAAAAGAGCCTTCTCAAAGTGAAGACATTTACTTTGAAAATGGAGAAAATCTCTTTAACAAACTGTTGGGAAAATTGTATAGTCACATACAAAAGAATGAAACTGGACCATGACCTTATACCATATACAAAAATTAACTCAAAATGGATTAAAAACCTAGATGAAAGAAGTGAAACCATAAAATACATGGAAGAAAACACAGACAAAACAATCCATAATATTTGTTTCAGTGATGTCTTTGGGACTTAGGCTCCAATAGCAATAAATGGAACTATATCGTGCCAAAACTTTTTGTATAGTGAAAGAAAATATTACTAAAATAAAAAGACACCCAGTGAGCAGGGGGAAGTATTTTCACAATATACATCCAATAAGAGGCTAATATCCAAGGTCTACAAAGAATTTCATAGAACTCAATAAGAAAATGAATAGCCCAATTTAAAAACATGCAGAAGAGTTTAATAGATACTTCTCCAACAAAGACATACAGATGGCTGATTAGCACATGAAAAAAAAAATGTTCATTATCACCAAATGCAAATCAAAACCACAGTGAGTTATGAACTCACTTCTGTGAGAATTGACCTTATCAAAAAAGACCAATAACAAGTGTTGGAGAGGTTGTGGAGAAAAGGGGGAGGGTATTGAGAAAAAGAGGGTATAGGAGAGGGAAAAAGAGGGTGTGCTGAAATGGGAAAAGGTATTAGTTGGACTGTAGACTGCCCCAATGCCTATGGAAAAAAGCATGGTGATTGCTCAAAATATTAAAAATAGACCTACCTAACAAGCCAGCAATCCCACTGCTAGAGATCAACTCTAAGGACAGAAAACTCTAATTAGAAGGGATATATGCATTCATTTGTTCATTTAGTACAGTTTACAATAACTAAGTTATGGAAATAACCTAAATTCCCAAAGACATGAATGGACTAAAAAGATGTATGTATAATTGATGGAGTAATAGTCATCTATAAAAAGGACAAAATTTTGCCATTTGTAACGACATAGTTGGAAATGGAGGGGATTATGCCAAGTAAACTATCTTTCTCCCTCTGGCTTAAATACTGGATTATTTCACTCATAGTTGTACTATAAACAGAGGAGCAGAAAATCAAAAGCAAAGCAAACCCTAGATATCTGACTACAGATTTAAATTTACTGGAAGAGAAGAATTGGAGGAGGGGGCAAGAGGGGACAGGGACTTGAGATGGACTCTGGTGGAGTATTATGGGTGCCATGGTGATCAATGTGGTATTGTAACATACATCTGAAGAGGAATGAACTTATATACCAAATCATATATGCTGCCATGAACCATTGCTACCTGTAGGGGCAGGATGGGACAATGCAGGTCTTCTATGATTCCAGCAGATGGGGTAAAGGAGGAGTTCTGGAGCCCTCAGTGGCTTTTGCAGGTTTTTATTGGGATTTACCAGGTATGTGGCAGGCAGGAGTGCTGGGGGGCCAGGTAGCTGCCAGACCTCCCAGTCCCCAGCAACTCTTCACTCTTTCTGGGCTCTCCAAATTTCTCTCGGGGCCTCTGCTTCTCTGCTCCTTTAGCTCTTTGCTGGAGTCCCCATGACTCCACCCTTATAAGCCCATTCTTAGCCCAGTGTACCCACCTACGTATGGAGTAGGGTATGGACCCTACTCCAGGTGTCCACCATCAGGCATGCATTCAGGACCACAGGGTTCCATCATCAATCCTAATGGCAGGAGGGCAGAAAAGTCTGATACTTTACTTTCCCTGTATTACCTCAATAAAATAATACAATAAGCCAACTAATTTTATTTTAGTATCTATAAGCCGGCAGTGACTTTTTAAGGTATGTGCCTACTTCTACAGATATAAGAAAAGTATCCACTCTCAGAGTAAATATCTTATGGGCTACTGTGGCACAATTGGGGATAGTAAAAATATTAATCCCCAGCAGTTGTGGAACAGCACACGCGGGGAATATGGAAATGGGAAGAATATGGTTAATTGACATTACACTGAAACACCTATTGTAGCCCAGCAGGTACTCCAGTTCATTTCACTCTGCTTATCTTAGAGTATAAAACACCACAAGGATTTTGCTAATTAGAAAACATTTAATATTATTAATTTGTAGAAATTACAATGTTGTATATTGTATTTATAACTGTCAAAAGAACAAACAAAAGGATATTAACATTTTTATGACAGAGAAAAAGAATATTCTCTATATAAGTTTTCTAGAGTGGGTTATTGAGGGTGAGAAAAACTGAGTACAAGAGAAAAGGAGGGAAAGTAGCTTTTTAAATGACATATTCTGTGCTAGATGTTGTAATAGATGTATCATAGATACAATTTTCATTTTATTACATTTGTGGGGAGCTTTAAATGCATTTTCAGTTGGCAAATTTTCTATTTCTATCAGTGAAATAAAAAATGAATTGGGGATGACCACAGGACTGGGTGGCATAGAAAAGGATGTTTTAAGACAAGGTACATTTATCAGGTGGGATAGAATTGAGTTTAAGGGGCACCATAAATCAATATTAATGCTCATTTCTAAGAGCAAGCATGTCTTATGTGGAAGAAAAAAAGCAAATGTTGATTGGCAGAATTATGATTAGTTAAGAGCAGATATATGCAATCTGTATTAAAGAGAATAAGAAATGAATGATGTAAAAGGAAAATAGAGAAATTAAGAACATAGGTGTTACCTAATGCAGGTGTTACCTGTACAAATGTATGAATAAATTGTGCTTGCAGTTGTGAAGGAGAGAACTTTTCCCCTATTTTTATTGTCTCTTGATATCATCCCACTTTAAATTGTTTGCCAAACTCATAATTAATCTAGGTTATTAGAAGTCAGTTATTTGTGCTGGGGGATAGTAGAACGAGGCTCGAAGGACATTCTGGGGAGATGGGAGGCTCTGCTCTTAATCTGGCTACTGGTGACATAGAGAATTTTTAGAAATCTGTACAATTAGCACATATAGATATATACATTATGCTTCAATCATGAAGTTTTTAACATTTGACAATTTAACATTAACAATTTAAATAAAGTGTATGGCTAACA